TTTTTCCTTATTTATGTTTTGTGGCTCTGTTCTGTTTTTTAGTTTAGTGGCTACCCTGAAGTTTGTATTTAGAATCTCGTGTATAATATAGTCTATTCTCTGGTGGTCTCTTACTTACTTGGCCTAGACTGATTTAGTCCCTTTGCTCTTCCCCTCCTAAATTATTATTTTCATTTCTTATTCCAACTTGTGTTATGAGTTTGTAGTTAGAGTGATAAGATCATCTTTGCTTTGGTAGTTTCCTTACCGTTATCCTAATGCTATAGTTGAATATTTGCTATCCTATTCTGGTTCTATCTATCCATCTCTCTACTCTGTGGTTTGTGACCCCTTTCTCCCTTTTTTGTTTTTTCAGGTATGAGAGCCTTCTTGAGGATTTCTTGTAGTGGAGGACTTTTGGTTACAAATTCCCTTAACTTTTGTTTGTCTGGAAAAGATTTAATTTCTCCCTCATATCTGAAGGATATTTTTGCTGGATAGAGTATTCTTGGCTGAAGATTTTTATCTTTTAAAGTTTTGAATATGTCACTCCATTCTCTCCTAGCTTGTAAGGTTTGTGTAGAGAAATCCGCTGAAAGTCTGATAAGAGTTCCTTTGTAGGTTATTTTCTTCTGTCTTGCTGCCCTGAGTATTCTTTCTTTGTCTTTCCTTCTTGCCATTTGTACTACTATGTGCCTTGCAGTAGGTCTTTTTACATTGACAAATCTAGGAGATCTGAAAGCTTCCTCCACACACATTTCTCCCTCAACCCCTAGATTTGGGAAGTTCTCTTCTATAATTTCATTAAGCACACTTTCTGCTCAATTTTCCTTTCCACGTTCTCGGGAATTCCTACGATCCTTAAATTCTTTCTCTTCATTGAATCTGCTATCTCTCTGATATTTTCCTCATTCTTTTTAATTCTTAGTTCTCTTTCTTCCTCTGTCTGGAGCCATTCAGCGTGTCTATCTTCGATTATGCTAATTTTCTCCTCTATGGTGTCTACACGCGCATTCAGGGAATCCGTATTCTGTTTTATCTGGTCCATTGTATTTTTCATCTCTAGTAACCCTGTTTGATTCTTCTTTATAATTTCAGTCTCTTTTGTGAAGTAACTCCAGAACTCATTGGCTTGTTTCTCTATCTTTCTCTCTACCTCATTGAGTTTTTTGATGATAGCTACTCTGAACTCATTTTCACTTAGTTTGCCGATTTCCAAGTCCTCAGGAGTCAATTCTGTGTTTTTATTGTTTTCCTTCTGGTCTGGAGCTTTTACAAATTGCTGGATGGTAGAGGAGCAGTTTTTGAGCATGATGGTAGAATTCAGTTGCAGTTACAGCCTGTCACCACTAGATGGGGGTCGAGAGCTGCGTGTTCTGAGCTCTCCACCTTCAGGCAAGATGGCAGCGCCCAGTGTGGTTTGCCAGGGGTAGGGGCAGTTTCTCTCGCGTGCAGATCTGGATTCGGATCAGCTCTCGTTCTCTGGTCTCCTGGGGCCCTGGCTTGATGGGGTCCCTGCACATGAAAGCTTTGCCCCATCAGCGGGTTTCCACTGCACCTGTGGCGGGAGTCCTGGATGATCCCCCAGTCACACGGCCCCTCCCCCACTCCTTCCCTCACTCGTGGCAGTGACCCCAGTCTGGGAGGGAGCGAAGTTCTCTCTTACCCCATTCCAGCTCCTCCAGGGTGGCTACAGCCTCTCCGTTCTCTGTCTTCTCACTCTGTAGGTCTCTGACGGTCTTGGCATTAGGGGTCATTGGTTGAAATTCAGTTTTTCCGTTTCTTTGGTTTTATTTTGGAGGGGAGAGAGTCCCGGGTCAGCTCACCCTGCCATTTTGCTCCACCTCTCCAATTTTTTTTTTAATGCCTGAAGCTATTAGGACTTCTTGAAACATTGTCTTCTCTTGACTTCTGAATACCACTTTTCAGTTTTCTTCATACTTCACAGGTTCCTACTCAGTGCCCAATGCTGGCTCTTCCATCTGACCTCCAAGTATTGGCAAATCCCAGGCAGTAGTTTTGGGTTCTTTTGGTTCACTGCTCCACTTTTTCTCCAGGTGACTTCATCCAGTCTCATTTCTGTAAATACCTTCTATACACTGATGAACTCTCTCCAACCTGTCTTCTGAACTCTCCAGACTAGTATACCCAGCTGCTTACTGGATATTTCTACTTAAATGTCTAAGAAACATCTGAAATATAATAAGACTAACAACAAAATTGTTTAGTCTCTTCCCTCTCAAGCCTGTTTATCCCATAGTCTTCCTCATCATGGCAAATGATAATAAATCTACCTAGCTGCTCAGGAAAAAAAACTAGGAGTCAAGGCATCTATGTCTAAAGTATGGATGAGTTTAATACCATTAACTACATCTCAGAGACTAAATGTCCCCAGGATTATGTGCACAGAAAAGTCATAGTTTCTTTGATCTTTTCTAATGTCTTTTTAGTTTTTATTTCACTTATTTCCACTCTGATCTTTGTTATTTCCCTCCTTCTGCTAACTTTGGGCTTCATTTGTTCTTATTTTTCTAGTTCCTTGAGGTATAAAATTGGTTGAGATTTTTCTTATTTCTTAATGTGGGCATTTATTGCTATGAATTTCCCTCTTAGAATTGCTTTTGCTGCATCCCACAAGATTTGGTATTTTGTATTTCCATTTTCATTTGTCTCAAAGTATTTTTTGATTTCTCTTCTGATTTCTTCTTTGACCCATTCGTTGTTCAGTAGCATGTTGTTTAATCTCCACATATTTGTGAATTTTCAAGTTTTATTCTTGTAATTCTTTTGTAGTTTCATACCATTGTGTTTGGAAAAGAAGCTTGATATGATTTCATTTTTAAATTTATTAAGACTTGTTTTGTGGCCTCACATTTGATTTATCCTGGAGAATGTTCCATGTGCACTTAAGAAGAATGTGTATTCTGTGTCTTTTGGAAGGAATGTTCTATATACATCTCTTAAGTTCATCTGGTCTGATGTGTTGTTTAAGGCCAATGTTTCCTTGTTTATTTTAGAAAAGTCATAGTTAGAAAGCCCTTATCCACACCCAGATTAAGGAAGATTTCACTAATCTTTTCTCTTTTTCTTTTTTTTTTTTTGATGAGGAAGATTAACTCTGAGCTAACATCTGTTGCCAATCTCCCTCTTTTTGCTTGAGGAATATTGTTGCTGAGCTATCATCTGTGCCAATCTTCCTCTATTTTGTATGTGGGATGCCGACACAGCATGGCTTGATGAGCAGTGTGTAAGTCCACGCCTGGGATCTGAACTGGCAAATCCTGGGCCACTGAAGCACAGCACACGAACTTAACCACTATGCCACTGGGCCAGCCCCCTAGTGCCTGTATAGTTTCGTTTTCTTATAGTTAAATCTTTGATCCAATCAATGTTGGAGTTATCCTTATGTATGATGTGGGAAATGAATCTAATTTTATCACAGTATTGTTTGCAATAGCAAAATATTGGAAATTATATATATTGTCCAAATATACGAGATTAATTGAACAAACTATGGTGCGTGCACCTTTACATACATAGACACACACACTCAGATAAATACTTAGGAGTCAACCCTGATTTCTTTCTTTTCTTTCTCCCTCTTCCTCACATTCAGCCTATTATCAAGTGCTATTGGTTCTACCCACAACCACATCTCACCATCCCCATTCTACTACTCTTGCCCAAGTCATCATCATTTCTTGCCTAGTCTCCCTACTGCCATTCTTGACCTCCTTAAATAATTCTCTACACAGCTGCTAATGTGGTTAAAAAAAAAAGTCAGGGGGCCGGCCCCGTGGCTGAGTGGTTAAGTTCGCGTGCTCTGCTTCGCTGGCCCAGGATTTCACCGGTTCGAATCCTGGGCATGGACATGACACCGCTTGTCAGGCCATGCTGAGGAGGCATCCCACATGCCACAACTAGAAGGACATACAACTAAAAATTCACAACTACATACCGGGGGGCTTTGGGGAGAAAAAGGAAAAATAAAATCTTAAAAAAAAAAAAAGTCAGGACATATCACAGACCTATTTTTAAAAATTCCCATGGCTTCCTCTGAAGCTTAATATAAAAATCTAAACTCTTGACCATGACCTGCTTACCTGGCCACCTTTCTAGCTTTATCTCCTACCTCTCTCTTCCTTGCTCACAAGCTCTGCCACAAGCTCTTTCCTGCCTCAGAGCCTTTGTACTTTGTCTGGAAGGCTCTTCTTCATGGCTATTGCCTCCTATCACTCAAGCCTTAGTTCAAAGTCCTCTTTAAAGAGGCTTTCTCTGGCCCCACGATTTAATGTCTTATCTCCTATTCTTCCCCTGTTCACTCTCTATACATTTCCCTTTTTTAAATTTCTTCATAGTGTTCATCAGAGTAAGAAAAATTTCCTTCCTTCCCTCCTCTCCATTTCTCCTCTCTCTTTCTTCCTCCCTTCTTTATTTATGTTTCTTACCCTCCAGATTGTAGGCTTCATCAGAGAAGGAATTTTTTCCTTTGTGTTTACTTCTATATCCCTGGTGCCTGGAACAGTCTTTCAGCCCTGGCACATCACATAAACACTCTGGGAATATGAATATGCCCATTTATCTATCTATCTATCTATCTATCTATCTATCTATCTATCAAGCATGTTGAATAAAGTGATCAGGTTACCTTCCATAATAAAACACTAAGTAAACACTATGTTAAAAAGTGCTCAAATATAGAATGTTTAAAAAGGAATAGACATTTTTCCCAAATAGTGGGGAAGAAAAAAATAATAACATATGCTCCATGTTGTTTTGCTCAACTTTTTTTTTTTTAGGGAGATTGGAGTAATAAGAAGAGTGCTGAGTGGGTAGAGTCCTAGAAAGAAACAGGAGGAGTGAGAAAGAGATGGAATAATGAACTAAATAATGTGAAAATAGTGAGATGAGTGTAGTTTAGCAAAAATTAGATCAGTGCAAATTACATGCCAACACTCAACTCTTGATCTTCTGGGCTAACGGATGGGAAAAGAAATATGAAAGAATCTAAAGCAAGAGGGTAATTTTGAAAAATTATATTTGATTTTAGCATACATGCCAGAAGTACATGAACCACAGATGTTCATCACCCCTCCCAGGACCACGTTCATTTTCAGCAGCTCAAGTGGGATGACCATAAAAGAAGTAAGTAAAACAAGGCTACCCTGGTGTTGCCCTGTTCAACCTCCACAGCCAGCTTTACACACTCTACTCAGTATTTTAAATTAAAAGAGCTTCTGGTAAAAATAAATTACAGAATGCAAGTTTTCTCCAGAATGGCTAAGTTCTCATTCAGTCTGAAACCTGTGTTCCCATAGTTTTGCCTTTCTATCTGTTTCCCATCCTCCAATTCTAAACAGTTATGGATGGACTTCTAGACTCAGCCCAAGTTCCAACTTCTGTGAAGATCTGCTTAACAGTTTGAGTCCAAGGGAATTTTTCTTGTTGAAACTTCTGTGACACTCATGTGGAATTGCTTACTAATTATTCCACGAACATGTGTCTTGCTTCCTTAATTGGACTATAAGCTCCTGGGGGTTATGGAATATGTACATCATTTATTTTGTGGAATCTAAAGCATTCCCAGCTCAGTTCTGGGCTGATGGAAGGTGTTAAAAGTGACTAGAAATAGGTTATTGGGCCCTGTTCATATGCACTTGCTCAAAGTGGAAACCTACCTGAGCCCTCTAGGATGAATCTGGTTTTGATTTCTCCATATAAATCATTAATGACATTTTGCTTTTTATTTCTGCCATTAATTTAAAAAGCCCTGAGAAAATCATTTTTTATTTACACATGAATTAATATACTGTTTTTCAGAATGAAAACACATGAGTCATTTTTCTTATGAATAATTTAGAATATTTGGGGATATTCTATTTCTGGATAAAATAGTTCAAAATAGCATTTTACTAAAGCATGTGTGATATGTATTTAAAAACAAAAACAAAATAGCTTCTGGAAAGGTTGCTTTTGGAGTAAATTCGGTCATTCAAATAGTTTTCTCTCAAGACCCAAAAATGCTAGGGCGTTGCCAGCCTTGAGTTTGTCCTGAAAAAGAAAAGAAAAGGTTTTATTTTAAAGCATTATTAAATGGTTGTTTTTTGGTCCTTTATTGAGTGTCTTTATCAGGCTTTAAAAAAATCAATTCCCTAATGTGAGAAACAAAATATTAGCAGGTTAAACAATGAATCTCTTCACCCAGGTTTTGCCCCACTGTCTGAAAACTAAGTTTGCAATTTGGTTGTAGGAGAAAAGGAGAAGAATTATAAGGGGGAGAGCCCTCTTAGGAAAATGCTCTTCTTTGGAAATGTCTACAGGTCCCTCCAATGGGTTTTCAGGACTATTTGGAGGCAAATTCAGAGAAAAGGTACAGTGTAGGTCTGTGGGACAAGAGAGCTGGAAATAGTGCCCAGATGTCATCCAGCCATCCCCCAGCTTCTAGTCATATGTGTTGTCCTTTCACATGGCCCTGAATAAAAGTTAAGCTCTTCTGAAGCAAGAAAAGTGATATATAGATGAAGAGTCTCCGAATATTGTACAAATATGTACATTTATAAATTTCACATGAGAAAAGGACTGCCAAATTTTTCTTCACCTTCTCCCCAGCTACAGACTAGACCAGCTCCACAGAAAGAACTTCTGTGATTTGAAGGTAACTTTGTGATACCCTAAATGATATATGTCCGGTTTGCTAAGGGCAGGCACGTAGCTGAGGATGGAAGGAAACATGTATGGGGTTGTGTACCATCCATACCATTAATGTGTATCTGCATATCATGACCACTTCAGGGTTCTTGCACAGCCATGAAGAGTGGATTTGAGGCAGGGACCTCTTACTCAGGGTTCTTCCTTGATCCACACTTGGCCCATCCTCCTCTAATGGAAGATTTCAGAAGTGACTATTGCTGCGCTGAGAAACCATTTGCTTTACTTTTAAAAATAGGTTGGTACCAAGTACCCTTTGAAGGAGATACACTTTGGTGTCTTGGGTGGAGATCTGATCCTGGAGTCAGGAGATTTGGGTTGGGCACATGTGCTGTATAATCCAAGAGTTGTATCACCTTTGGCGAATCACTCAACTTCCAGGTCTTGTTTTCCTCCTCTGCATCTACATCGTGGACTGCATCTGCCTGTCTACTTCTCAGTATTGTGTTCATCAAATGGATTTGTTTACTTAATTTAAAATTTTTTTTAGTGAAATTTACCTTCACATGGTTCAAAATTCAAAAGGTATAAAATAGACACTTCCTTCCACTACTGCCACCCAACCACTACTTTTTCTTCCCAGAGTTATCAGTTTCTTGTCTGTGCTTCCAGAGATATTTTATGCATATATAAGCAAATGCTGATATTTAGGTATATAAATTTTTTGTTCACAAATGGATAGTATACTATACATAAATGGAAGTATCTGCATTGTTTTGCACCTTGATTTTTTAATTTAAAATATCTTTGAAATTGATTTTTAATATGCTTTATTGCTGTATAGATTCCATTGTATGGATATATTATTATTTATTTAAGTATTCCCCTGTAGGTTGTTTTCAGTCTTTTTATCACAAACAATGTTACAATGAATAACCTTGTACAGAATATCATGTGAATTTGTGACAGTATAAAATTTTTATGCAAGGTTTTTTGAAAACTTGAAAGTGATAAGCACATAAAATTAAATAATAAAAAACACATAAAATAGTAATTATTTTTCCATTAAAGTCTTAGTCATACTTGGATATGGATACTTAGAGTAATGTGGTTTCAGTTTAATTTTGGATAACTTTATAGAAAGTTTTTCATTTTCAACCCTTGTTGTAAAAAGTAAAAAAATCTTAGTACAGCTTCATACTTTAAAAAGTAAATATTTAACAATTCAACACTTTTAGTGCCTTAAGGTGGTGAAGTGCCAAAGGGGATGCTTTCTGTGTAAAGCAGTCTGAGCTTTCCCAGTTAATAACTTGCAATTAGTATGTATCAGAATGGACTCTTCTTGGCATCCATTAAGGTGTTTCAAGCCTACCGAGATTTGATGAGCTCTATCCTTAATGATTAAAGCAGAGAATTAGAGTCCAAGGGAACTTTTGGATTCTAGTTTAGAAGAAAGCCAAGAATTATACAAAAGGATTACGACAAAGACTTAGGTAAGATTTGTTAAGAGTTTATATATCCCCATATTTTCATTTTTGGCCATCTCTGATCCTATAATGGTTGGTAGTGAAGCCCTCAGGAAGAATTATTTTGTTGGGATTTGGGGGTGGGATGGCAAGGGGATGAGAAAAGAGAGGGAATCTGAGGACATTGTATTAAGATGTCCTTAAACTCATCTTGGTTCAGGAGCCTGGCAGTAGAATAGGCAATGGCAGCCATTATGGCACATTTACTGACCCTAAAAGTCAAATTCAGAAAGAAAAAAGTCAGTTACTGAAGGTTCTGGCTCCTTGAGTCCTTGTTAATCAAGACTTCAGTCTCAGTGTTCAAATAACTAGAATCATTACAACTTTGAGACTGGTAGATTTGTATCAGGACTATTAAAGGAAGAATTTAGACTTTTTCTTATTTATCTAACATGCAAACATAAATATGTGATGATATGCTTCTTTACAGTTTTCTTTCTAGGCTTTATGTATTTAGTTGTACTAGGTTGACTTTCAGCTTTTTTACTTTCCTTTGCCCTTAAATAATTTTCTATTTCTGGAAATTGAGTAAGAGTTCAAGGAGTATTAAGTGTAATGGTTCCCCTGTTCTTTGTTCTCAAGGATCAAAGTGCTCTGAAACCAAACACAATTAGAGCAGGAAAACTCAGGGAGAAAACCATGAAGAAAAAGGCATATACCTTTGTTTCAGCATCAAATTCTTCTATGGACTCTATCAGTTTCCCAGGTTCCAGCTCACCTAGTGGAAAGGGGTAATCGGTTCCCAAAATGACTTTATCCTGAAAAAAAGTTTCTTTTTAATCAGCAATTTTATAGAACATCAAACAACCTCCTGTAAATGTAATTCCATTTACCTATTACAAGCACGCCTGTGGTAAAATAACAGATTTCCTCCTGATTAATAGAACAAACTGATCTAAAATTTAAAAGATTTAACAGATTAAAAACCTATTCTGACATTTTCTCCAGTAGGTGTCACTATTAGGTCTCTTAAAGTTGCAAATCAACCCTCCTCCTCCCTTCTTTTCTTTAGATAACTGAAATACAGAATATGCAAATACAACACACAGGGCATTTACTAAATAAAACACATTAATGTCTTCAGATGAAATTAAGGATTACATATTTCTTAGAATGATACATTGCATAATTTTTGAAAACATACTAAGGTTGAGAAGGAAAAAATAGAGAACAACTGGATGAAAAAAGTAAAAAAACAAAAACAAAGCAAAAAACTCAACCCCCCAAACAATTCTCATTTCTATAAACTGGATTTTTATCTGTTTTTTTGAAAGATGTAGCTTTAAATATCCATTTTACACTTTGTATGATAAAGCACACAGGTGTGTCCATCTACAAACATGTAAAGCAATGTGTCAGGCAATGTGCTAGAATCTAGATTATCTTGGTCCATCAAACAGAGATGGTCCCTGTCTTCAGAGAACTCATAATCTAGTGAGAAAGAGAGTCATTAAATCCATAATGGCAGTCTATCAATATAAAAGAAGAAAAACACATTGTCTACCAGAAATTTTACTTCTAGAAACGTATCCCACTTATACACATATAATGGAAATATATACAAGGAAATTAATTGCAACATTATTTGTAGCAGCAAAAGACTAGCAAACTAAGCTATAGGATATCCAAAAATAAAAAGGAATGAGGAATGCTTACATAAGCTGAAATGGAATAATCACCAAGTTATATTGTAAAGAGGAATGATCTTGAAGTTGTATTGTAAAGAGGAAAAAAACGTCCAGGACAATGTGTCTGCTATGCTCATATTTCTGTTTAACAAGGGACCTGTAGACATAGAAATATGTGTTTGTATGTATCCAGTCTATTTCAGGAATGGTACCCAAGAAACAAGTAACATCAGTTATCTTTGGGAAAGAAGACTAGGATTAAGGGATGTGGGCGATCTCCCTTCTTTTTTTTTGGAGATAGAATTCAAATACCATAAAGTTTACCCTTTAAAAGTGTACAGTTCAATGGGTTTTAGTATATTCATGAATTCGTGTAATCATTTACACAATCTATTTCCAAAACATTTTTATCACCCCAAAAAGTAACCCCCATACCCATTAGTAGGCACTCCCCGTTCCCTCCTTCCTCTAGCCCCTGGAGGACACTAATTTACCCTCTGGAATCGTGTAGTATGTCACCTTCTTTCATTTAGTATACTGTTTTCAAGGTTCGTCCATCTTGTAGCCTGAATCAGTACTTCATTCCTTTTTAGTCTGAATAATGTTCCCTTATATAGATATATCACATTTTTAAATCTATTCAGCAGATGATGGACATTTGGTTGTTTCTAATATTTGGCTATAATGATAATGCTCCTCTGAACATTTGTGTACAAGGTTTTGTGTGCTCATATGTCTTCATTTCTACTGAGTATACACCTAGGAGTGGAATTGCTAGGTCATACGGTAAGTCCATTCAACATTTTGAAGAACTTTTTCCGTGGTGGCTACAGCACTCTACATTCCCATTAGCAATGTATGAATGTTCCAATTTCTCCACTTGTTATTGTCCATATTTTTTATTATACCCATCATAGTAGGTGTAAAGTAGTATCTCACTATGGTTTTGATTTGCATTTCTCTAATGACTATGTTGAACGTCTTTTCATGTGCTCATTGGCCATTTGTATGTCTTTGGAAAAGTATCTATTCAGATCCTTTGTGTCTATTCAAGGGCATGTGTTTTCTTTTTATAATTGTAAGAGTTCCTTATATTTTCTGAATACTAGAGATTTATCGGATATATGATTTACAAATATTTTCTTCATTCTTTGGGTTATCTTTTCACTTTATTGATAGCATATTTTGAAACACAAAAGTTTTAAATTTTGAGGAAGTCTAATTTATCTATTTTTTTCCTTTGGTTGCTTGTACTTTTGGTGTCATATTTAAGAAATTATTGCCTAATCCAAGGTCACAAAGGTTACAACTGTGTTTTCTTTGAGAGTTTGTAATTTTAGCTCTTCCATTTAAGTCTTTGATTCATTTTGCACTAATTTTTGTGTATGGTGTAAAGGAGTCCAACTTTATTTTTTTGCATATGGATATCCTGTTGTCCCAATACAATGTGTTGAAAGGACTATTCTTTCCTCATTGAATCGTATTGGCACCTTTCTTCAAAATCAGTTGATCTTTATTACTGTCCCTATGCCAGTACCACACAGTTTTGATTACTGTATCTATGTAGAAAGTTTTGAAATTGGAAGTGTGAATCCTCCAACTTCGTTGTTCTTTTTCAAGATTGTTCTGGCTATTCTGGGTCCCCTGAATTTCCATATGAATTTTAGGGTCAACTTGTCAATTCCTGCAAAAAAAAAAAAAAGGCACCTGGATTTTTGATAGACATTGCACTGAATCTGTAGATCAATGTGGAGAGTATTGCCATTCAACAATATTAAGTTTTCCATAAACAAGATGTCTTTTCATTTATTTAGGTCTTCTTTAATTTGGTAGTTTATTGTTTATGTCTTGCACTTCTTTAGTTGAATTTATTCCTAAGTGTTTTATTCTTTTGGATGCTATTATAAATGGAATTGTTTCTCCAATTTCATTTATGGATTATTCATTGCTAATCTATAGTAAAACAATTAACACAATATAGTAATACAATTAATTTTTGTATATTTATCTTGTGTCCTACAATCTTGCAGAATGTGTTTATTAGCCTTGACAGTTTGTTTGTACATTCTTTAGAATTTTCTATATACAAGGTCATGTCATCTGCAAATAATTTTGCTTCTTCCTTTCCAATATGAATGCCTCTTAATTATTTTTCTTTCCTAATTTGCCCTGGCTAGAATCTCCAGTACAATGTTAAATAGAAGTGAGAAGAGCAGAACCTTTCAGTCTTTCACCATTAAGCATGATGTTAGTTGTGGGTTTTTCATAGGTGCCCTTCATCAGGTTAACAAAATTCCCTTCCACTAGTTGTTGAGTGTTTTTATCATGAAAGGCTATTAGATCTTGTTGAATGCTTTTTCTGCATCCGTTGAGATGATCATGTAGTTTTTGCCCTTTATTCTATTAATATGGTGTATTATATTGATTGATTTTTATATGTTGAAACAACCTTGCATTCATGGGATAAATCCAAACTGGTCGTGGTGTATAATTCTTTTTATATGTTGCTGGATTCAGTTTAATAGATATTGTTGGGCAAATTTACAGTTATATTCATAAGGGATATTGGTCTGTAGTTTTCTGGTGATTACTTTGGTTTTGGTATCAAGGTAATGCTGGCCTCATAGAATAAGTTAGAAAGTGTTGCCTTCTTTTGTATTTTTTCAAAGAGTTTGTGAAGGATTGGTTGTAATTCTTTTTAAAAATTTTGGTAGAATTCACCAGTGAAGCCATCTGGTCCTGGGCTTACCATTGTGGGAAATTTTTAAATTACTAGCTCAGTCTCTTTACTTGTTACAGGTCCCTTCAGATGTCCTATTTCTTGTGGAGTCAGTTTCTGTAGTCTTTCTGGGAATTTCATTTCACTTAAGTAATCTAATTTGTTAGCAATTGCTCATAGTTTTTCCTTATAATTCTTTTTATTTCTGTAAGGTCTGTAGTAATACCCTCCTTTTTCATTTCCAATTTTAGTAACTTGAATCTTCTCTTTTTTTTCTTGGCCAGTCTAGTTAAAGGTTTACCAATTTTGTTGTTCTTCTCAAAGAACTAAGTTTTGGGTTTGTTAATTTTCCCTGTTGTTTTTCCATTTTATATTTCTTTTATATCTGCTCTAATATTTATTATTTCCTTCCTTATGCTTGCTTTGGGTTTAGTTTTCTCTAGTTTCTTAAGGTGGAAGGCTAGGCTATTGATTTGAGATCTTTATTCTTTTCAATATAGGCATTTTACTGCCATAAATTTCCCAGTAAGTACTGCTTTGCTGCTTCCCATGGTTTTTGGAATGTTGTGTTTTGTATTGTATTTGTCTTAAATATTTTCTAATTTCCCTTGTGATTTCTTCTCTGTGTAATGTCATTTCATTTCAGCCTGAAGGACACCCTTTAGCATTTCTTGTATGGCAAATCTACTAGTGATGAATTCTCTGGGTTTTTGTTTATTTGAGAATGTCTCCATTTCTCCTCATTTTTTGAGGATGTTTTTGCTGGATATAGAGTTCTTGATCACTTTTTTTCTTTCAGTGCTTTAAATATGTCTTCCACTGTCTTCTGACCTTTGTGGTTTCTGATGAGGGCTAAGGATAGAGCTATAGGGAACATCAACACTGGGGGTGGAGTGGTTGTGAAAATGGAGGACAGAAGGAGGCAGAGAGCTCCCAAGAAGATGCAGAAAAAGGTGGCATTAGAAAAAATGCAATGAGAGATATTTGAAGAATAAAATTTTCAATAACTAATGCCTTAGAAGAACATGAAAAAGATAAGGACTAAAGAGTGTCTATTGGATTTGGCAACCTTATTAAGTGTACTTTCAATGGAGTGATGCAGAGAAAATAAGATGCATTGAATGAAAAAGTAAATGGATGGTGAAAAAATAGCAAGTATCTCATATCTCTTAGCTTGGATGCCTTTAATACATATAATAGTTTTGGTAAATTGTTTTTTCAAGAAATTTTTTCATTTATTGTAATTTATAAAATTTAGTGGCATAAACTTATAATATTCTCTTGGTACCCTTTTAATGACTGTATGATCTGTAGTTATAGCCCACCTTTATCTCTGAGATTAGTAATTTGTGTTTTCTCTCTTTTTTCGCTTGATCAATCTTCCTAGGAGTTTATCTATGTTACTAATCTC